GAAGCATTGTCTAAATTGAACTTAATTCTTATTGTTATACTTCTGCATGTATGTATCTTTGCTTTTGCAGATCATTTCAATGCTGCGCCTTTTTTTTTAAACAAATACTACAAATTTAAAAAACAAAACAAGAAAACTGGATCCGTACTGAAATTATCCAGAAAGAACCAGTTTTGTTTATTCAGTTTTTTTAAATTTAATATTTTTATGGATAAATTTCACACAAATATAAGTATTTTATACTCCTTGCATTTTCAAAAACAGGATCGTTACTTTTTGTAAAACACATTTGAGGGAAGTTTTCATTTTCCATTACTGGATGCCCTCACACATCAAAATGATTTAGCCTAAGCAGTAACTGAGGAAAGGCAATGCTAATGGTGTATCAGTCTTTCCTCAGGCACCGCTTCTTTTTTTTGTGATCAACATTTTTGTCATGGTCCTGGGTCATTTTTGACCCAGCGTTTTGTGTTTTCTGGAGTTTAATGTATATTCAGCCCTACCTGTGTCTGCAGTAGCAAAGCAAACATTGGTCACAAGGCACAGGGACAGCAAAGAAAAAACACAAAAACACAGTCAAAACCAGTTATTGCCTGTTCCAGGAGATAACTTTGGATGACAAGATTTTCCAAGATTCAACAGTCGTGGGTCGAGCTGTATTTAATTTTGCTGTGGTATGTTCAAAATTAATAACACGGAGAAGACATTGTATCCAGAATGATTCCATACAAATGTCAGGACTGAACCATTGCTTTGTAATAGTCTTCTTTGCAGATGTGAATCCAGCGAACAACATTTTGCATTGTATTTGTTTTAAGGAGATTTCAGAGGTATCATTAAGGAGACAAAGACCAGGATTGGAAACATAAAAAACTCCCAGCACCTCAGATAACACAGAGTTCACAAAGACCCAAAAATTGGATACAACAGGACAGTCCCAAAACATGTGCAAAAACGTGAGGCACCGCTTCTTCTACACGTCCTGGGGGAGGGAAGCTCATCTCCAATTATCCTTTCAGCACACCGCACCACTCTTTGGTGAGCTTTGTGGTTGTAAGCGGTGCTGTTGCCATACCCCGTGGTGATGCGTCCAGTGAGGATGCTCTCAAAGGCACAGCGGTAGAAGGCCCCGAGGATGCAGGAGCTCATGCCGAATCTCTTCAGTCTCCTGAAAAAGGAGCGCTGCTGCGCCTTCATCACTGTTTAGTTTGTGTGTACTGACGAATGCTGAGCTGTAATCTATCCGGGTGCGAGAGGGCAGTATGTAGTGTCAGGGCTGTGGCATCATCAGTGGACCTGCTGTGGCAGTATGTAGCGGTTCCAGTGAGTCGGGCAGTACAGCGCAGATGAAGTCCCCGAGCAGCCTTTCAAAGCGTTTGCTCATGATGGGGGTCAGGGATACCGGTCGCCAGTCGTTTAAGGAAGAGATGGTGGAGGGTTTGGGTACAGGGACGATGGTGGCCGTTTTGAAGCAGGCTGGGACTACAGACAGAGAGAGGGAAAGGTTGAAGATGTGTGTAAACACTCCAGCCAGCTGAGCCGCGCATGATTCGAGGACACAGCCGGGAATCCCGTCCAGACCAGTGGCTTTGCGTGCGTTCACTCGTCCTCAGACACAGTGTGCACGCTGACATCATCCATGACGCGCACACTTTCTGGTCTCATGGTGTTCGCTGAGAATTAGAAAATCCTCACACAGAGAGGCTGTATCAAGTCTCTGTGCTTGTCTTGCGTTTCCTGTTTTACTTTGATAGTCTCGTCTCCTGTGTTTAGTGTTTTGAGTTTTGCTTCCTCCTTGTCTCATCCTGTCAAATTGGTCCCAGCTGTGTTTCTCTTCTGGTTCCAATTCTCTCATGGGCTGTATCCCAATTCAGGGTCTGCAGCCTTAAAGTACGCAGCCTCAACGATCCTCAAGGGCCGCGTACTTAAAGACCGCTAAGGCCGGAAGTGCGAGGCTTGTGAAATGGGACGGTCTAGCCTCCGTTGCGCTGCCCAGGTTGCCTAGCAACCATGATACTAACAGCTGGAAACGTTTCATACAGCTTTGTTTGACAGAAATGAAGGAGAAAATCTTTTGTTCATTTGTTTGTTTGTTTCTACATGAGCTTTGATCATTCTCTGATTAAGCTCAGCTATTGAACGGCGTATATTTTAAAGTAAAGGCTTTAAAACCAAGTTAGTACAAACGTCACTAATGTCACATGACTTTGCCAACATGTGGCCAACAGGAATGTTTTAATGTTCTTCGTTATTAAACATTTGCACATAAATAAGTGACATGATATTCAGTACTTACTTAAAGTTTACTCTTCGGGCGCCACTCATCCGCTGTTTTTTTCCGGCAAAATTATCCACACCCACCGCCGCGCTATGCATTCTGGGATATGTTGGGCCACGAAGTCTACACCGCCACGTCCTTAAAATTCAGGGAAATGAAGGACGCATTTGAGGGCCGCATTTCGAGCAGCCTTTGGATTGGGACAGCCTTCGTCGCGTCGCTGTGACGTAATCGGCCTTAAAATGCGGCCTTTAAGGCTGCAGACCCTGAATTGGGATACAGCCATGGTGTGTTTAAGCCCTGTGTTATCCTCTGTCTGTTGTTGTGTCATTAACCCTCAACGTCTCCATGTGCTGTGTGGCTTTCCTTGTGTTCCCAGGTTTCCTACAGCTCCAAGTTCCTTGTCCCTAGCTTTGTGTTTGTGTTTCTAGTTTCTAGTTTTGTTTTTGTATTCTATGTCAGAGTCCAGCAAATAAAGCTGCTGTTTTGAGTTTAAACTTTTGTTTGAGTCCTGTGTTTGGGTCGTCATCCTGCCTGCCACACAGCGCTACACGACAGAAGCTCTACTTGGAACTTTGTTAAGATCCGCCAATGCAGAATAGGATATTTTGCCATCTTTAAAGGGTTCTTAAACGTTCGATCAGTACTGTAGTCTAAATTCAAATTTAGACTGAAATAAAGTTTAGATTCCCATGTACTAATATAATTAGCTCAAGGTTGCCTTTCACAAGAAAAGCTGGTAGAAACAAACACCTTTCACTTACATATAAACTTTTATTTATGGCCATTATTACAAAAGGATCAAGGGTCAGCTGGCACTATGCACAAAGGTGTGTTAGCAGTATTTATAGTGACGGGAAAAAGTGTAAAAAAGCTCCAAGTGCTCAGAGTTGAAAAAAGTGTATAAGTACAAATTAATGACTGGCTGATAGGAAAGCAAATAAAGAGCGAACGTAAACTTAATAAAGCACAGAGACTGTTCAGATCATCACAAAAACTCTACAATAACTACAACCTACTGAGATCATATCATAAAGTTTATGTGCTATACAATTAAAACTAGCAGTGGCAACATCTTTCACAATTTGCAAGTAATGATAGGAGCTGTTTAAAAACACTGATCAGTGCAACTTCAATTAAATGAAACTGTTATGGAGGGGATACAGTTCCCGTCATATTTGTGCACGCACCTTTGTTCCGATGACCAGAGGAAGAGGGAGCAGCAGCAGCGGCGTGAGGATGATCAGGAGAAGGCTGTGATAGTTCCACAGTGCTTCGCTCAGCTTCGTCAGCATCCTCCTGTCGTACATTGTTTTCTTCTCTCCTGCTGGTTCCTGCTGTGATCCCGCAGTTATTTGGCTGTGATATGTTAGAGAGGGTAATGATTGACCGAGACTGAGAGGCTGGAAACCAGTTTGGGGAAGTCCTCCAACTACTGGAAGCTTCATTTTACTTTTCCTTATCAGTTTTCTTGAGCAAGATACAAAAGCTGATTAGTAACTGTTGGTTATCTCTCCACTAAGACAAAGGTCAGATATTAATGTGTCGAGGCTTTTCATTTATTTCAAGCGTGGTGCTTGAAAGGGACAATGTCAGTAGTTTCTCTGACATAAAAACCAAAATATAAAGCATGCAAAGATACTTATTGAGAATAATTTTACTAAAATGTGCATAGCAAATATACATACACAGACCTAATAAGTTGCTTCCAGCGTGCGATATGATATTGTATCTGTACATGGTTTGGTGAGCTCCTTCAGTTCACAGGGAAAACTCTTTCATTTACCCTGATTTTTAAGGATTTATTTATTTGATCCTGGTGTGAAATATTTAGACAAAATATTTATTTGCTAGAATGTCGACTTGCATCATTTCCAGTCCTCATTATATTTTAAGAAAGAATAAAGACTGTTTTATAATTAATGTTGAATATTCAGCAACAATTTAAAAGCAGGCACCAAAAGTATGTATGATATGAGTATATGCCTAAGTCACGAAACTTACTAGCTCATTGTGTAAAGGTGAGTCTTAATCTATACTCCAAAGAACAAGCATCAGCATGACATGGCACCTGCTGACGGTGGTATATTTGTGTCTGGCTATAAGTGTGAGAACTTCTGCTATCTTTGAACTTGTTATCTTGAAAACCTCAGAGATCCATTAAAGTTTAGCTGCGTTTATGTC